GCCTTTGTAAATCTCACGAATGACTTAATGGTACATTTTATGTCCCTTTCTTCTTTTGTGATTTTTAAACAGCTTAGCAAATTGTTCCTAGAGCAAACTGTGTATCAGCACAAATGCTTCAATTCAGAAGGTAATGCAGCCCTCTTGCTCATAAGAAGCTGCCCAACCAAGCTGAAATCAGGGAGGATACCAGAACTAACCTATTTTAGATTCTCTGAGACCAGAAAAATAAGTTGTAATGCACAAGGGCATTTTCTCCTGGAGGTTTCACCTGAGATTTCCATCTCTTCTCTCATCTCCACATTAAGCAAAAAGAATAGAAGCGTGGCCTGCGGCAAAGCAAGGCCTTTCCCTCCAAACTCCTGAATAGTGTCACATTTGGTGAAAGCAGATGATTTAACAGAGTGACTTACAACAGATATATTCACCTGAGGAATATTCTAGCTTCTCAGCAATATCACTAGGCAGTTAAAGGCATATGACCTTTTTGGCTATCCTGCTATTTAACTCATTGGCTAAACCCTTCTACAGAAACAAGTGTGAGCACTAATAAAAACCAACACCCATTTCATTCTGCCAGTATTCAAATTAATACCCATTCCTTGTTGCCTCCTGTGACAGCCTGGAATATACCCTTTCTATCATGGAGGAACCTCTGCAGTGGTCTCTCAAGGCTCAGCAACATCAATATTCTGAAGTTACTGCCTTCACTTCAAGTGGGAACAGAAGACAATGGCTTTTCTGGGTTTCAGGTCACTTCCTGTGACATATAGGATCCCCAGAAACACTATAAACCTCTATCTGACCTACTCACACATCACCCAACTCAGACTCAATAACAAAATCACCAAATACCACACTAATGCTGATGACTATTTTTAATCATGAAAGGTGTACAGCTATTCTCTTATAATACAAAAACATCCATCAATCATATGACATTTTGAACATATGTCATTCTAAAATTTGCAAAGTTTTAAGCTAGCTCCTTTTAAGCATAAAAAATCTTTTCTGATCATTTGCATTTCATAAAATAAACCTAATCATGCCAGAAAGCACAGGTTTTAAATTTGCAAATGCCTATAAATTTGGCTGAGTGAGGTTTTATAAGAAAATCACAAATTTTATATGACTCATATATATTATTTCTCTCCATCTGTACTCAGCCCAAACAATTATATTTTGTTAATAACCAATTCATCATACAATTTGCATTTTAAAATATATTTTTTAGGCTTAAATTTTAACTTGTTTCTTAGTTCAAACATTTCACATCTTACTTGAAAGAAGTTGCAGTGAACTTTAGCTGAGGAGTTTCACATATTCTCCTCATCTCAAATGCAGTCTCTGCAGGGAATAATTTCCTGTGGGAAGTAACTGTAGGAGTATCTCCACTGTTCTATGGAAAAGTAAGAACAGCTGCAAATTTTTAAAGAATAACCTATATAGAAAAATGTCAAACTAGGGGCATTTCTACCTTTCCCCTGACTAAACACAGCCATCATTCTTTAAGCACTCACTAAAGGAGAATTTGTTAACCCAGATGATGTCTCAAAACCAGGCCAGATATCACTAAACAGAAATTCAATAGTATTTTTCTCAGTACTATGGAAAATACTTTTAAATACCATTTATCATGTCTAGTTTAAAATGATTAATGAGGTGTACATTTCTGTTTCTTTCTCTCCCTCTCTTCTCTTTATCTCTCTTCTTTCTCCCTCCCTTACTCTCTCCCTCTGTCCTTCTCTCCCTCTTTTCCTCTCTTTAGATTAGTAATCACATATTAAAGTTGCAATTCTTTCTGGGTTTACTGTATATGGCAAAATTATGTGAAGGGGGATGCTTGTCCTACTCTGTTGAATGGAAAAAAAATGAATATGTATATGTATATATAGAATTTGAATATATGTGTATATACACATGAATAATATGGCTATTTTACATGTGAATATTAACATATATAGTATTTAAAGTATATAGTATTGTTTTTGTATACATACGTAATTTCTGAATTTCTCTCATTTGGTGGTTAACCATCCTAAAATGAAAAGGTAACTCTTAAAATACATGTATATAATATTTGAAACATGTTTAGAACAAAGGAGCAATGTTTGCTTAGGCAAGAGTTGCTCTGTTTGGCAAATTGTTAAATACCACCTAAATTATACCCATGAGAATTTCTAAACTATACTTAGAATTTTGAGAACTCTGTTAGGAGAACGTCTGTTAATAGTCTGACACATGAGCTCACTTGCAAACATATAGATTTGTTGTAATCCATATTAGTATTTCAGATAATCGCTCCAGAGTGTTTTTTTTAAAATCACTTTTAAATCAAACAGCATAGCAGACTGTAGGTATCAAAATTAAACATAAGTGAAGATGAAGTCATCCCTTACACACTCTTTTACTCAGTTGAGTCCTTTTACTTTGGGTCATGTTTTGTTGTCACTGCCTTTTGAAAGATGAAAAAACACATTTTTCTAAAAATTGTGCTATTTATTTAACAGCATTGTCAGGGACAGGGCAAGGATTTCATTTATGTGTAATATACTATATTGCTGAATATTTTCTCTGAAATGGAAGTATAGTAAGGATGAAAAATGTCAATATAATAAGATTAAAGGGTATTACAGGTGGATTTTTTAAATGTAAAAACTGAAAATAAAAAGAAAAATCCTGGGAAATAAATTGAAAGAGTATGATTATTGCACTATTTAGCTTCTTATTTCTTTGTGTGTTTTTTCACTAATCAACATCATTCACCTCAATAAACAAAATGGAATCATTTGTTTCTTTTAAACTGAACCCCCATAAATATTAGATCCATGCAATAAAAATTGTTGACTTGCAATTTGTAATGTAGAATAGAAACAATTGAATGAATATGGGTTGCAGAAATACTGTAGACAAAGTTTAAATGTGAATCCTACACCTGAGCAAGAACAGCTCTTATGAAGCTAAGCATTAGTAACAGAACCAATGTTATATTAAAGGAGACGCCAAATTTTGGCCCATTCCATATAAGGGCAATGTTGAGGAAACTGGAGAATTAATTGGATCTTATGACTTCATTCAGTTTCACAGAGACAAGGTTTCTGAGCTTATAAAACTGCACTGTAAACCCAGCTACTAAGATTCCATCAGTTTTCTCAGAACCTAAATTAAATACTACCAGAAATTTGGTCCAAAGATAGAGTACACTGTAACTATGGGTAAAATTTAGGAACCATGCATCAATGCTTCTCTGTGTTCTTCATAGTGCTTAGTGCTAGGGAAGCAGAAGATGCTTTTTGAATTCCTCCGTTCAACACCCAAGAATGCTTTATACACAAGAGAAAAAAAAAAAAAAGAAAAGAAAAAAGAAAGAAATCTGCAAGATGATGTGATATGATCACAATTTGAGGCCAGTGTGAAAAGTTTGGCAAAAGGCACCTCACAAAAAAATGTTTTATGGCAAAAAGTAACTGAAGAGTCAGTATCAAGTTAGAAAGTATTATAAAAATAGTTTACGTACCTAGAGAAAACCTTTTCCACATGAGGAAAAACAAATTTAAATGTTTAAGGTGTGTTGAAATTCCAAAACAGCGTGTCAATATTAAACTAAGTTGATTTAAAATGGTACTTGTACTGATAATGATTTATCTACATTATTTTTCATTAAAGGAGGAAAAAAAATGATGAGGTAAAGGATAAGAATGAGTAAAAGAAAAAAAATAGTCCTGTTTAATTTTATGAATAAAATAATTCAGAAGAGAACTCTTTGGGCTTTTGTATCAGTGTAATTTTTTACTTTAAAATTCTCATAACTGATTATTTTTATCTATTCACTAAGTGAAGAAGTATAGATCAATACTAATTCAAGGAATAATCTCTTTTTCATGTTAAAAGATGAAATAATAGTAGATGAGGCAAAGAAACAAGTACTTGAGTAACATCAGCATGTTATCTCTATCCAATCTGCATAAGTAAGGTACACATAAAACTATTTGCAATTTATAAAAAAAAAAGATTTGGAAAACATTTTGACATAGAACTCACTAAGAAGAGACATATTGATCCACGAAGAAACATTCTTGGCAAAAGCCAGCTCTCAGCTAAAGCTCAGATGTGGGGATATTCACAGAGCTCCAGACCAGTGCTATTGAAGTTGTCTTCCTTATTGAAAAGAGCTGCATAAAGGAAACTAGAAACTGACAAAAGGGGAATTTTTTTTAATTTCATATTCTTAGTAAAACTTGAGAGTGTTAGGTTTATACCCACAAAACCTATACGACCATATTATTACCCACAGAGTTGGGAAACAAAGCCATATAACTTTTTGAGGTATTTTAAAGAAAGTGTCACAAAGGTTAATCCAATTTTACAAGAAAGCCTTCTCTTAGGTCTCCGGAAGAAACTTTTAAATGTAAAATCTACTCTCTTGTGTCTGTTAATCCTTTGCACCTATGATTAGTTCCTGCCTATGTTATCCAATAAAAAGATTTAATATAGGTCAAAGATACCTGGAGCTTATTCCCCTTTTAACAAAAATCAATATCCCAAAGAAACACAACTTGGCATTTATAGGCATTGGCTTGTATCTCAATAGATAATAATAGTAACAACAACAACAACAACAACAATATAATGAAGCTGGGTTCCCTAGTTGCATTAACTGGATTATAAAAACAAAATAAAATAAAAGTTAGAAGATTATAAGCGTTGAAAAAACCAAGCTTTCTTGGAGATTTTGATCAGCATCTGAACAGAGTAACTAGGCTTCTTAATTAAATATTAAGAACTATCACTCAGTGCAGGGAAAACAGTGATGATTATGTAATAGCTTTCTATTGAGATTATTCTTGTCTAGCATGTGGATTATTTCACATAACACTTCACAAGTTTTGATACTTCTGACATCTTAATCTAAAGTAGATACTGTTTAAAATCCTGTGATCACTAAAGTACTCTAAAATATGAGCTATTTAAATATGTATTTCCTGGCAATTAATGCCTACCGGTGACAGTGACCAAATGCTTCATTACAGGATGGTAAATGAAAAGCAGCCACAGCTGAAAAGGAACATAAGAGAATTAGCCAGGACTTTTTCCCCTGTAACATTTCATGTTGCCACAGAATAAACAGACTTAACAGTAGTTCTTTAACCTTCTTTAAAAGCATGATGATGGGCAATTTCCTACATAAAATATTAGATTTTAAATATAGTTATTAATCAAATTCAATATCCAATTCAGGATTCCATGAAAACTTGTCAAATATACAGAGAAAAAGGTCAGATTAGTTTACATACTATGGTAAATTATTCTTCCATTTGACTATATGATTTTTAGACAGACATTGTTTTGAAGCCTAGCAGAAAATAGAAGATTGAATCAGAAATGGCAAATATTCACCCATTATGTAAGGAAAAAGGAAATACAAAATCACTGAGTTAATACTTTGTCTATTTGAATTAAACAAAATTTTAAGTGTGTTACAAAACGCAACCTGTACAAACAGCAACATTTTAACTACATAGACAATTAATTTAACCTTGGAAAAGAATAAGACTAGATGAAATGCACCAAATCATTAACCATGTGTTTGGGTAATGAGACTAGTAATGACTTTGTTTCTCTTCCTTTGTGTTACTTCTAAATATCTTAATAAATAGGACTCATTTTAAAGAACAAGTGTATTATTATAAGAAAAATTTTCTTACCCAAGAAATAATTTCAATTTTTACTGGTGCTTTTAAGAAATTTTACTGATGCTTTGCTGCTGGGAGCCATTAGCCAAGTAGGTATGACAATTTCCTTGCCAGCGTACCCCATGTTGCTGACATGTTGCAGTGACATTGAATGTTAAGTGACCTTGCTCAAGGACCAAGGCAGATTAGGGTGTTCCCGGTTTTAAGATAATCGTGTTTAGGGCGTTCCCAGTTTAGGTTCCAGGTTTAAGGTTTAAGATTATTCCTGCTGGGAATAGGGCGTATCCTGCTGCCTGAGTTCCCCTTGAGTTCTCACGGGATTCAGACAGTATATTTTGGAGATAGAAGCCCAGTGGAGGTGAATTTGGGAGAGAAGGTGGATTTGGGAAGAGAACGTGGATTTCCCCAGAACGTGATTGTAGACGGCTGGTGTGAGTTCGGGAATAAAGAGTTGCTGTTTGAATCTACAAGCTGTGTGGTGGCTCGTGATTGTGTGCCCAGCCAGACTGCGGCATTTGTGCCCAGCCAGAGTGCGGCACTTTGCTTTAGTGGTTGTTTCTATTGAGAAATACATAAGTGTTTAGTCTAGTTTTGCAGGGAAGACAATTCCTCATGTACACTGCCTTAACATAGGAGTTCTGAGGTTCAAATCACAAATTAAATATCTTCCAGAAACATATTTAATATACACAAGATGAATTCTGTGTTTCATTTTACTTTTCCAAGTATGTTATCTTTTCACTGTTAAATGTTGGCTTCTTTTCAGTAAACAGTGCATTTGGCAAGAGCTGGAACATTTTCTCAACTGTGCAAGTGATGATTAATGATTCAGTGCTCAACAGCATCATGATCATTTTCACTAGATTCCTAGTTTAAATGTATGTGTGTGTGTATGTATATGTATATGTGTATATGTGTGTGTGTGTGTGTGTGTGTGTGTATATATATATATATATATATATATATAAAAGCATATATATACACACACATATACATACAATTGATATATCTATATATTAATTTTATGGATATGTATATCAATTATATATGCATATACATATAATTGATACTTTCCTTCTTCAAATGTATATTTGTAGAAGGGTAAGATCCAACTAAGGTCATGTGGCACAGATAGTCATGTACTTAAATAGAAGTATCTTGTTATCTTGAATCAATTCTGCTTTCCCCCTACTTCTGAAAAGTAGTTTATTAATGTAAATATATTATAATACATGGACCTTTCTTTTATATTAATAATGCTCATATACCTACCCACAATAGTAAACATTTTTGGTGACACCAACACATTCTAAGCATGTAAGCACATGTGAGAGACATATAAGATAATGACTGTAGAGCTTATCATTTATGGAGAGATTCTGAAGTACCAAGGACTGAGTCAAATACTCACAGATGCAGTCCACTGAGGCTTTTCTACATTTCTGTTAGAAGTTGCTGTGCCTACTTCATAGATGAAGAAACCAAAGAGACCAGAATTTGAAAGCCTCAGAGCTTGTGAACAGTGGCAGGAGTGTAGGGGGAGGGGGTTAAAAGAATCCTGTCCAATTTAAGGCCCCAGGGATTCCTGCTATGCTGTGGTATCTAGGTCACATTGCTGAATGGGGCAGCTTGTGGTCTGGATGGGATGACAGACCTGGGTAACAACAGTAACAACCTTATTATCTTAAGTGAGATAGTCATTTGTTCTACAGTGCAGGAAGTTTGAAGAAGAAAAAAAAAATCCCTAACTTGAAGAAAACTGAATGCTCAGAAGGGAGAGGTTAAATAACTTGGGGTATATGCTACAGTTTTGTTTTGTTTTGTTTTTTCAAGAGATTTGGGGGGTGGGGGAGCAAATTTCTTCTGTCAGTTTTTGGCCACCAACTTTCAGATGAATTTTAATGTCAAGTACATAGTGGTTTTGTTTTTAAATGATCATTAATAACTACTTTTGGTAACCCTTCACTTATATCCACATAACTACTTCTCATTGCTACCCCTAGGTAACTTGTTTATTATTTTTACATTTTTCCTTTTCTAATATAATTATTTACAGTGGTGTATGGCAATTTTAAAGCTACTTATTTCACAAAAAAAAATAAATAAATCAGATATTTCTTTGTGTTATTGCTTTTTTTTCCCTTAAAAATCTCTTAACAAAACCTTTCCAAGTGAGTTGTTTTAAATATAGTTTATGCTTTTTTATAGCTGAATAATGTACCATACTATAGAAGTATACTGTTCAGTTTCCAAATTGATATTCACTTCGTATGTTTCTATGTTTACAAATAGCATTAAGGAACATTATTGAGTATCTATGTCTTAGCTATATAAATATAAGTTCTGTTTTTCTTTTTCCTTTTTTTTCCCCCCATTTGGTACCAGGGATTGAACTCAGGGACACTTAACCACTGAGCCACATCCCAGCCAATGAATTATATTACATATGCAATTCTTAAAATATTACCAGATAGTTTTTTTTAAAAGCCTGTAAGAAGTTCTGTTTAACATGGATACATTAAATAACAATGAAATATATACTACTTTACCATAATAGGTAGTAAGATTTTCAAAAGTGTCTTTCATTCCTTCTTTCACTTTGTCAGTTGGAATTGACTCTCAAAAATATTCCCCAGGGAAGATTTGACAATCATTTTTCAAATGAGATACTTGGTTGGCTGACTAGTTGACAGGTTGACTAGTTAGTTGGTTGGTTGGTTTTCTATCTGCTTTACTCTCTTTATTCACAGAATCACTGTCACCATGAACCCCTATTATTTTTGATGGAAATATACTATATTCTTTATGTTATTGGGTCAGAAAAAAAATATAATGCTTGTACCATTAATCCACCTATCCATAATCATTGAACACCCTTGTATGATTTAAAGCACTACAGAGCAATTCTGTCCCAGAAATCAGATTACTTGATTTTCCTGTCTGCATTTCTATATCATCATTTTTGAAATGTTTCCTACATTTTTCAAAATAAGTTAACTTTAAAACAATTGAAAATTCAAACAAGCAAAAATATATCATTTAAATATACATAACAAATTTTATAAGGTATTTTAAATAGAAGTTAAAGTTAGTAGATTCTCAAAAATTGCAATAAAGAAAATTTATAGACTCAACATAACTCACATATTTCTCTGTGTCTGATCATATCATATAAAGCTATTTTGGATTTTGTTTTTAACGGACACAGAGGAGAAAATGCTTTATTAATTGAGGAAAGAAATCTTTGAATAGGAATAGCATTGACTTTTAAATTATTGGCCTTATCTTGCTCTTTTATGTATGCTCAGAATAGTGACAGCATTTTCAACAATGTTCCAAAAGCCATTTAGCTTACAAAGTGGAATTATTGTGATACGGTACACTTAATGCATTTCTTCTTCATAGCATCTTATTTCATAAAAATCAATTGGATTTTATGCCTTAACATAGAAGGGCCTTCTTCCACAATGAAGTCAGAGTTATTATGGGTAAGCTGGCCAGATATCATCAAATGCACTAGAACCTTTCTATAGTATTTATTGTTGTACAGAATGCAGTGTAAGGCACTCTACTATACTACAATAAGTAGCACTTTCTCTAGCACATCCATTGTAGAAACTCTCTATAGGAAGCTATTAATATTACAAAGGTAGGCAAGAATGTCTTGAAGTTTCTCCAGAGAGTAGAATTACTAAAGTTATATATATATAAAATACCACCCAATATAAGTTTACAGATAAAATGCATCTAACACAGGCCCTGGCTTGTGGTAAGCATTCAAAAGATGTTTGATGAATAAATGAATGAAAGCAGTTCTCTAACATGCACAATGATGGCACAAGGGTAAGACACCAACAGGCACATATTAATGAAATAAGTTCCATTAACATAGGTAAGGAAATGATATTGAATTTGCATATAAATAACCAGAGCTGGTGGAGACAAAAGCACATTTCAAACTGAAGGCATATAGTTCCATACTTTTGGGAATCCCAGTTGACAATGAGATCTCACATTAAAATTCTATCTCATTCTTCTGAAAAGCTTGTCTTCTTCCATTCTCAGGGACCCATATTACTTCTGGGTTCTTTCGACTGTTGTAGAGGCTCAGTCTATGTTCCTCCCTGCTCACCAAATCCAAGTGATTGATAAAAACCATGGTGCATTCCTGAACATTTTTTTTAAATAAAAGAATTCAAGGAAATGTTTCATTTCCATTTCACATTATTAATGGGTCTGGGCTTCGAGCTTTCTTGAGGTCTATTCCTGTGGCATGAGTTCCAAATAGGGAGCTTTAGCAAAGATTCAGTAAATTGATTTTCTTTTAAATACTCATAGAAATTTTAGTGTAATATTTTTAAAGGTATTTTTTCCCAACTCAAAGACCAAAAATAAATAACAAGAAACACGTGACATAGAATCTTCAGGATGAATAAAGATGCTCATAACATGTTATGTCTTCTTTTAAAACACTTATTATAACAGATATTTATCTCAAATATTTTCATTTTTATTAATTTCTTATAAAATTGGTACACATATTCATATATTCAGCTTAACATTATTAACATCATATCACATACATTAGGGCTTTCTCAGTAATTTTTTTCTTATTTCCCTCCACTTGGTTTTTCTTTGTTTTTTTTTTTCCCCTTCAAAGGTAAGGAATATTACCAACTTGATATACACATTTTAATGGTATTCTTATATCAGAAAATCATATATGAATATATGTATATACCAAATTATGTGTTTAGTGAAAGTTTTTCATGCCATGTGGTATATACACATTTCTTCACTTTGCTTTCTTCTCTGAAAAATACTTCACAAAGTCACTTCAAATCAATCTGTTGTTTCTCTTTCCACAGGATTGCAGCATGATAGTCTAGGACCTTGACATACCAGTTAATTCCACCATAATGTACAATATTTTCAGGATTTGGCTGTGAAGATAGACTCAAACAAACCTATTTCCTTCCAGATCTATCCAAACATATAGGATTTTTTCCTTTTAGTGTGATATATTAGCAGGACTAGGATTATCAAAATATAGATGGATGGATAGACAGATTAATAGACAGATAGATATTGATGCAGACAGATAGATTTGAGTGCAAATGGCTGAAACATTCCACATTTCCACAATATTCCCTGTTCTCTTATCTCTCCATCAAAAGTGGCGACTACTCTTTTTTTTAAATTATTGTTAAATGAAGAATGTAAAGTACTATCCCCTTATCAAATTTTTCAGAAGACCAGTGAGTTTACAGCTTTTCATATCATTGTAGTGTATTGGTTTGGTCCCCTATAAATTTATTTTTATATTCATTCTTTATTGTTGTTGACAAATAATAATTTGTAGTAAAATTTCAAGAGATATATAAATGCAATAATATTAAGCATTTTCTTCTACATTCAAATATTTTTAACATATTCATTGTTCATCTATTACTTGTTTACTATAACTCTATGTAATTTTATATAACCCAAAACATCCATACTTAGCTCCATAATTCCTTATTTTCTTAACCTTTCCTTCCTTTTACCATATTTCACACAAAATTATTTTTCTTAAATTCTTTGTAAAGTTGTTATTTTATTTTTACATTAACATTTTTACCTTAGTGAGAATTTATATGCTATAAGATAGGAATCCTAATTTATTTTAATTATAGCTAGATGAACAGCTGAGCAAGACTATTAAACTATATGAAATTTTCATACACATTGGGTCTTTTTCTGGATTCAGTATTCTGCACCTCTAATGTATTTGCCTACACTAATACCAAATTTGTTTGAGTTTAGGTATTTAATACTATGTCCTATTATCTTTAAGGTCAAATCTCCCTTTATATTATTATGTTCTTCCATAAGCTTCTTGATTATTTTAAAGCATTTAAGATAAACTCTTGTTTCTGAAGTGTTGAGGACTGAACCAGAACCTTATGCATGCTAAGCAGCCTTTCCTTCATGCAGAATTTAAAATGTATACAGTTTTAAAATCTATTAATATTCTAATTAATAATCCATTAAAATCATTTAAAAAGATTATTTAAAATGAATAATCTATTTGTGAAAATATTCTTTATGGTTCATGATTTTGATAAGATTTAATCATTTCCTTTATATAAGTCCTGTTCCTTTTTTATTAAATTATTTTCTTATTAAAATACTTTCTTTTTTATAGTATTGTAAATAACATACTTCTATTATTTCAATTTCCAGAATCTTATCTTTAACATAAAAACACATTTCTTTTTTTTTTTTGTACCAAGAATTGAACTCAGGGACACTCAACCACTGAGCCACATCCCCAGCCCTTTTTGTACTTCATTTAGAGACAGGGTCTCACTGAGTAGCTTAGCACCTTGCTTTTGCTGAGGCTGGCTTTGAACTTGTGGTCCTCGCCTTAGCTTCTGGAGCCACTGGGATTAGAATCACACACCACCATGCCCGGCAAAAAACCACATAATTTTATATACATTATTTTTATTTTTATAGTTGTAGGTGAACAGCATGCCTTTGTTTAGTTTTTTAAGT